CCCTCCCTCCCTCCCTTCCCCTCCTCCCCATACTCTCCACTCACCTCGCCTCGTGTGGTGCAAGGCCCAATGCACAGGTGGCACCCGTATTCCTGCTCCAGAGCCTGGGAGAAGAGAGGAGAGGAAAAGGAATGAGAGGGGATGGGTAAAAAGAGGAGACGGTGGCACAGAGATAGCATAGGCGTAGCGTACAAACCAATGCACAGGTGGCACCCGTACTCCTGCTCCAGAGCCTGGGAGAAGAGAGGAGAGGAAAAGGAATGAGAGGGGATGAGTAAAAAGAGGAGACCGTGGCACAGAGATAGCATAGGCGTCGCGTACAAACCAATGCACAGGTGGCACCCGTACTCCTGCTCCAGAGCCTGGGAGAAGAGAGGAGAGGAGAGGAGAAGGAAGGAGAGGAGAAGGAAGGAGAGAAGAGGAAACGCGTATCGGATGGGAACAAGAGGATAAGAGCACAGAAGGAGGCTGGGAGGCCCGACCAATGCACAGGTGGCACCCGTACTCCTGCTCCAGAGCCTGGGGGAGTGGGGAGGAGAGGAGAAGGAAGGAGAGGAGAAGGAAGGAGAGAAGAGGAAACGCGTATCGGATGGGAACAAGAGGATAAGAGCACAGAAGGAGGCTGGGAGGCCCGACCAATGCACAGGTGGCACCCGTACTCCTGCTCCAGAGCCTGGGGGAGTGGGGAGGAGAGGAGAAGGAAGGAGAGGAGAAGGAAGGAGAGAAGAGGAAACGCGTATCGGATGGGAACAAGAGGATAAGAGCACAGAAGGAGGCTGGGAAGCCCGACCAATGCACAGGTGGCACCCGTACTCCTGCTCCAGAGCCTGGGAGAAAAGAACAAGAGAAGGAATGAGGAAGGATGGACATTATAAGGGAACGAGAGGATAAGAGCACAGAAAAAGGCTGGGCGGCCCGACCAAATGCACAGGTGAGAGCGTGAGACACTCATACTTCTGCTTCAGACCAAAGTGAACAGCTGCAGCAAGCCCTCCAGTTGCCCTCCAGGTAACTCCTAGTGGCTACTGTGGTGACTACAGGGACCTGGAGACGCCTATAACGCGTATGGGTGCTGCTTATAACGCGTACCTCTCCCAAAATATGAGCGCTGGAGTGCCAGAAGGTGTCCCTCCCCTCGTCGTCCTCAAACGTGAACAGCTGCAGCGCGCAGTCGCCTTGCAGAGGGCTCCTATGGACTTCTATGGCGTTGCTTATAACGCGTACATATGCTGCTTATAACGCGTACCTCGCCCAAAATATGAGCGCTGGAGTGCCAGAAGGTGTCCCTCCCCTCGTCGTCCTCAAACGTGAACAGCTGCAGCGAGCAGTCGCTTTCCTAGAGGCTCCTAGTGGCTTCTGTAGTGGCTACAGGGACATGGAGGCGCGTATAACGGGTATAAATGCTGCTTATAACGCGTACCTCTCCCAAAATGTGAGCGCTGGAGTGCCAGAAGGTGTCCCTCCCCTCGTCGTCCTCAAACGTGAACAGCTGCAGCGCGCAGTCTCCTTCCAGCGGGCGACACATGTCCCACAACACGCCATCCACCTGTGAAGGGGAGGGCGAGATAGAGTGGCACACGTATGATAGAAAGAATGAAAAGCGAGGAGTTGGAGAGGTTTAGTCACCAGATAACAGCTGCAACGAGCAGTCGCCCTTCAGGGGGCGACACATGTCCCACAACACGCCATCCACCTGTGAAGGGGAGGGCGAGATAGAGTGGCACACGTATGATAGAAAGAATGAAAAGCGAGGAGTTGGAGAGGTTTAGTCACCAGATAACAGCTGCAACGAGCAGTCGCCCTTCAGGGGGCGACACATGTCCCACAACACGCCATCCACCTGTGAAGGGGAGGGCGAGATAGAGTGGCACACGTATGATAGAAAGAATGAAAAGCGAGGAGTTGGAGAGGTTTAGTCACCAGATAACAGCTGCAACGAGCAGTCGCCCTTCAGGGGGCGACACATGTCCCACAACACGCCATCCACCTGTGAAGGGGAGGGCGAGATAGAGTGGCACACGTATGATAGAAAGAATGAAAAGCGAGGAGTTGGAGAGGTTTAGTCACCAGATAACAGCTGCAACGAGCAGTCGCCCTTCAGGGGGCGACACATGTCCCACAACACGCCATCCACCTGTGAAGGGGAGAGGAGGGAGGAGTGACACACGTACGCATCAAACAGAAGGATTCAGAAAGGTTTGGTCAAGAGAGAACAGCTGCAGCGAGCAGTCGCCCTCCAGAGGGCGACACATGTCCCACAGCACGCCATCCACCTGTGAAGGAGGGGATCGATGGGTATGACAAGTATGATTGAAGTGAAGGAGAGAGAGATGGAGGGGTTATATCACCAGATAACAGCGAGCAGTCGCCCTCCAGCGGGCGACACATGTCCCACAGCACGCCATCCACCTGCGAAGGAAGGGAGTGAGAATTGCCACACACACGTATGAATTGAGTGGGAGGAGGTTCAGTCAAGTCGAGTGCAACCCAAGGCGCTCTCACCTCTCACACACATGCAGCGTCAATCATGAACCGCTCTCACCCCAACGTGCCTCTCTCGCTCGCACCTTGGAGATTATGGCGCTGTTGGCGAGCCCCTGCGAGATGCCCTTCGCCACGTCCATTAGGAAGGTCTCTCGTTGCTGGCACTCCACTACAGCACCGTCACTAGCTAGCATCTCCTGTATGTTCTCCGCTAAGCAGCTCGCACCTTGGAGATGATGGCGCTGTTGGCGAGCCCCTGCGAGATGCCCTTCGCCACGTCCATTGAAGTGGTCTCCCACTAGTCTCACCTGGATGTTCACCTGAATGTATCTCCGACCCCCAAGCAGCTCTCACCTTGGAGATGATGGCACTGGTGGCGAGTCCCTGCGAGATGCCCTTCGCCACGTCCATCGGAGAAGTCTCCCACTTCTTGCCCTCCTTCACAGCACCGTCAGGCAGGGTGATCCTGGCGAATGTGACGCAAACGGGAAGAGGGGGAAGAGCGGGTGGGAACGGGTGGGGGGGGGAGGGGGGGAGGGGGTGGAGTGGGTGCATACGGATCGGATCGGATCGGATCGGATCAGTATCAGCAAGTGCAAGAGAAACCTCCGTAAAACCCTGCATTCCCTCAGTGCTACCTGATTCGCTTCCTTTTTCTGTCTTTTCTGCATTGTCACGCTTTAATCTTACTTGATCTAATCGCCAGCAGATTTCCCCCTTCTCATGGCCTCCACCACCTAAATATTCATATTTCTCCATCCGTTACTGTCACGCGAGTTATTGTCACAACTTAATGGCACTGATCTCACTTGATCGGATCGCCGGCGATCTTCGCCCTCTGCTCTGCCTGCTCCTTCTGAAGCGCCTCGAACATCTCAATCCTCCGCTTAAAAAAGGCCTGAATCTCCGGCGTAATCTTCGCCGCCTCTTTCGCAGCGGCAGCCGCGGCGGCGGCGGCTTTGTCGGCGCCCTTGTCAGCACCCTTCGCTTTAGCAGGTTTCGCGGGAGCTGCATCAGTGGTATCGACTGCTGGCGCGCCGTCGGTCAGCGAGGCGTCAGCCAGCTTCTCGGCCACGTCATTCGAACTCATCTTGACGTGTCAATTGAAAATCAACGTCTACCACGATCGTCACTCCAATGTCGTCGAGTGTCAACGTCTACACTCGTACAAAATACGGAGTGTGGAGGAAAGAAAGTCGATAGCTCGGCGGACTGGCAGTGACCGCACAAAAGATAGGAATGAGCTGACTAAGCGTTCCCAGAGACAGGCAAAAGAGACTGGAGGACCCCGCAAGTGCTGGGTGACAGGCTAACACTGTACGTAGAACAATCTACAGTGTATAACCTGAAGCCGCGGCGTAAGTTGCGGGAACAGCAGTCAAGTCCTGGATTCGCCTAGGAAAAGGAGTCTACTGTTGCTGGTTGCAGGTTTTGTGGGTGCAATCCCGCGCTTGGGCGGGGAAAAGTGGGGGACGGTGGGGAGTGGGAGAACGCGGAAAACGGGGTGGGGGGATGGGGGAAGTCGGGGAACGCGCAGAGTGATTGGGCGATGGGGGAACGGCGCAACCGACCTTGGGGTTGACGGATAGACTGCAACGAAAGCGTTCGCGAACAATTCACGAAATACTCCCTAGAGATGACGGATCAAAATTACGACAGAAAGGAGCACTGCACTGAAGGCATAAGCGTGTCGTTCTGTAGGCACCTGACGATTGGGGGAGGAGGGAGGGAGAAGGGAAATGAGGAGGGTTCCGAGGTGGGTTCCGAGGTCGATTTCCCCCCCCTGGGCAAACATGCGAGATGGGAAATTTCGGATTTTGGGGAGGTAGTTTCCGAGGGAAAATGACCAACTTCTCGCGGAATTTCTCGCGCCCAATGGAGGGGTAAATCGTGACCATCTAATGCAGGACCAGGGTAATTATTTGGGGCTGGGCGTTTTCAGCATAAAAAGACCCCAACGCCAGGGTTTTCACTATGGTGGTTGGTGAGTGTTTTTCTTTTTAGATTTGAGATTTGCAACCCTGTTTGGGTTAGTGGCTGTACAGGGAAGCTTGTTTCTTGGGTGGGAGGCTGGTGTTCCCACGCCCAGCTCCTCCCTCCCGTCACCGTCGCACTTCCCCGAGAAGGGTGGGTGGCCGATGGCGGGGCGGAGGCAAATAAATTTGCCCGAGGAGGGAGGTGGTGAGGGGAAATAGGAACCTTCCTAGGGGTGCATTTCCCTGGAGGGAAATGACTGTTCTGCAGGCATTTCCCTTCGATTAGGTTCGGAAGGGAAATGACTGCCACGTCAGCCTTTTCCGGGCTGACCGTCATTTCGAACCTAAAATTGCAGAGGCAGGCAGCTTCCTATTTTCCCTCCCCTTCCCTTCGTGATGCCTGCAGAACGATACCAAGGTCTGAGCAATCAAACACTGTATAGGGAGGAATGTAGTACTATTATCATATCCACTTTCATGCTCAATAAATTAGAGCATGCAATTGACCCAGGCTACGGTATTGAAGCTGGAATCAGTTTGCTAAATACGGCTGCGAGGGCCGATGGGACTGCCGCCCTCAAACGCCTCTTCAAGCACTTCTTCCACTCGCTTTGTCGGAAGGATCTGACACGAAAAAAGACCACGAGAAAGAGAATAGAATGGCCAGATGAAATACAGTCGGGTCGGGCCGGAGCAAGATTTCCATGCAGCCAAATTCCTTCGTCCTAAATCTACTCAGGGATGCAATGCGGCCATTCATGCCTCCATGAACACAAAATCATTCCGTCTGCATACAAGCGGCACTCACATGAATGCCATGTCACCCCATTTTGGCACAGCACATGATGCATGATACAATATCCCACCACCATGCATGATTCCACATCATCCCATTTGCATACATGCCATGTCATGATGAAGACCCCATGCATGATACCACATTATCCCATTTGCACAGATGCCACGTCAGCCTACCTCCATGCATGCCAGCACTCATGCCACGTCAGCCTACCTCCATGCATGCCAGCACAGCAGCCGGCACCTCCTGGAGATCCTTGATGTTCCTTTCGGGCAGAATGACTCGCCTGATGCCGCAGCGATGGGCAGCGAGAATCTGAAGGACGAAATAAATAGAGAGAGGAAAACCAGGGAGGCAGAAGGATGGAACAGTTTTGAAACGTCTCAAAATAAGATGGGAGGAAAAGAAGGGAGAGGTGGTAAGGCGGGAGCGGAGAGTTGGAGAGAGAGGTGGGGTGAATGCAGGGTGCAGTGAACAGCAGTGATGGAAGCGCAAAGCAGGCAATTTCTAAACCATTCAGTGACTTTTGAGTCGACTCAAAAGTCACCTTGAATGCATGGTGCAGTGAACAGCAGTGATGGAAGCGCAAAGCAGGCAATTTCTAAACCATTCAGTGACTTTTGAGTCGACTCAAAAGTCACCTTGAATGCATGGTGCAGTGAACAGCAGTGATGGAAGCGCAAAGCAGGCAATTTCTAAACCATTCAGTGACTTTTGAGTCGACTCAAAAGTCACCTTGAATGCATGGTGCAGTGAACAGCAGTGATGGAAGCGCAAAGCAGGCAATTTCTAAACCATTCAGTGACTTTTGAGTCGACTCAAAAGTCACCTTGAATGCATGGTGCAGTGAACAGCAGTGATGGAAGCGCAAAGCAGGCAATTTCTAAACCATTCAGTGACTTTTGAGTCGACTCAAAAGTCACCTTGAATGCATGGTGCAGTGAACAGCAGTGATGGAAGCGCAAAGCAGGCAATATCTAAACCATTCAGTGACTTTTGAGTCGACTCAAAAGTCACCTTGAATGCATGGTGCAGTGAACAGCAGTGATGGAAGCGCAAAGCAGGCAATTTCTAAACCATTCAGTGACTTTTGAGTCGACTCAAAAGTCACCTTGAATGCATGGTGCAGTGAACAGCAGTGATGGAAGCGCCAAGCAGGCAATTTCTAAACCATTCAGTGACTTTTGAGTCGACTCAAAAGTCACCTTGAATGCATGGTGCAGTGAACAGCAGTGATGGAAGCGCAAAGCAGGCAATTTCTCAACCATTCAGTGACTTTTGAGTCGACTCAAAAGTCACCTTGAATGCATGGTGCAGTGAACAGCAGTGATGGAAGCGCAAAGCAGGCAATTTCTAAACCATTCAGTGACTTTTGAGTCGACTCAAAAGTCACCTTGAATGCATGGTGCAGTGAACAGCAGTGATGGAAGCGCAAAGCAGGCAATTTCTAAACCATTCAGTGACTTTTGAGTCGACTCAAAAGTCACCTTGAATGCATGGTGCAGTGAACAGCAGTGATGGAAGCGCAAAGCAGGCAATTTCTAAACCATTCAGTGACTTTTGAGTCGACTCAAAAGTCACCTTGAATGCATGGTGCAGTGAACAGCAGTGATGGAAGCGCAAAGCAGGCAATTTCTAAACCATTCAGTGACTTTTGAGTCGACTCAAAAGTCACCTTGAATGCATGGTGCAGTGAACAGCAGTGATGGAAGCGCAAAGCAGGCAATTTCTCAACCATTCAGTGACTTTTGAGTCAACTCAAAAGTCACCTTGAATGCATGGTGCAGTGAACAGCAGTGATGGAAGCGCAAAGCAGGCAATTTCTAAACCATTCAGTGACTTTTGAGTCGACTCAAAAGTCACCTTGAATGCATGGTGCAGTGAACAGCAGTGATGGAAGCGCAAAGCAGGCAATTTCTAAACCATTCAGTGACTTTTGAGTCGACTCAAAAGTCACCTTGAATGCATGGTGCAGTGAACAGCAGTGATGGAAGCGCAAAGCAGGCAATTTCTAAACCATTCAGTGACTTTTGAGTCGACTCAAAAGTCACCTTGAATGCATGGTGCAGTGAACAGCAGTGATGGAAGCGCAAAGCAGGCAATTTCTAAACCATTCAGTGACTTTTGAGTCGACTCAAAAGTCACCTTGAATGCATGGTGCAGTGAACAGCAGTGATGGAAGCGCAAAGCAGGCAATTTCTCAACCATTCAGTGACTTTTGAGTCGACTCAAAAGTCACCTTGAATGCATGGTGCAGTGAACAGCAGTGATGGAAGCGCAAAGCAGGCAATTTCTCAACCATTCAGTGACTTTTGAGTCGACTCAAAAGTCACCTTGAATGCATGGTGCAGTGAACAGTAGTGGTGGAAGCGCAAAGCAGGCAATTTCTCAACCATTCAGTGATCAGCTCTTGAGGCGCCTCAAAAGGTGAATGCAGGGTGCAGTGAACAGCAGTGATGGAAGCGCAAAGCAGGCAATTTCTCACCTTCTCTTTTAACCCCTCCCCAACCTTTGACCCCTAGCCAACGTGGGCAGCATCAGGTGGACTGCACACACAATAGGTGGCTAAAGCACACTGCTATCCAGGCACTCCCAGCACCCCTCCCCAACCTTTGACACCTCGCCAACGTGGGCAGCATCAGGTGGACCGCACACACAATAGGTGGCTAAAGCACACTGCTATCCAGGCACTCCCAGCACCCCTCCCCAACCTTTGACACCTCGCCAACGTGGGCAGCATCAGGTGGACCGCACACACAATAGGTGGCTAAAGCACACTGCTATCCAGGCACTCCCAGCACCGCTCCCCAACCTTTGAACCCTCGCCAACGTGGGCAGCATCAGGTGGACCGCACACACAATAGGTGGCTAAAGCACACTGCTATCCAGGCACTCCCAGCACCGCTCCCCAACCTTTGACACCTCGCCAACGTGGGCAGCATCAGGTGGACCGCACACACAATAGGTGGCTAAAGCACACTGCTATCCAGGCACTCCCAGCACCCCTCCCCAACCTTTGACCCCTCGCCAACGTGGGCAGCATCAGGTGGACCGCACACACAATAGGTGGCTAAAGCAATGCTACCCAGGCACTCCCAGCACCGTACTCACCTTCTGTTTTCACCCCTCCCCAACCTTCGACCCCTCGCCAACGTGGGCAGCGTCAGGTGGACCGCACACACAATAGGTGGCTAAAGCACACTGCTATCCAGGCACTCCCAGCACCCCTCCCCAACCTTTGACCCCTCGCCAATGTGGGCAGGGCAGCATCAGGTGGACCGCGCACACAATAGGTGGCTAAATCAATGCTATCCAGGCACTCCCAGCACCGTACTCACCTTCTGTTTTCACCCCTCCCCAACCTTTGACCCCTCGCCAACGTGGGCAGCATCAGGTGGACCGCACACACAATAGGTGGCTAAAGCACACTGCTATCCAGGCACTCCCAGCACCCCTCCCCAACCTTTGACACCTCGCCAGCGTGGGCAGCATCAGGTGGACCGCACACACAATAGGTGGCTAAAGCACACTGCTATCCAGGCACTCCCAGCACCCCTCCCCAACCTTTGACCCCTCGCCAACGTGGGCAGCATCAGGTGGACCGCACACACAATAGGTGGCTAAAGCACACTGCTATCCAGGCACTCCCAGCACCCCTCCCCAACCTTTGACCCCTCGCCAACGTGGGCAGCATCAGGTGGACCGCACACACAATAGGTGGCTAAAGCACACTGCTATCCAGGCACTCCCAGCACCCCTCCCCAACCTTTGACACCTCGCCAACGTGGGCAGCATCAGGTGGACCGCACACACAATAGGTGGCTAAAGCACACTGCTATCCAGGCACTCCCAGCACCCCTCCCCAACCTTTGACCCCTCGCCAACGTGGGCAGCATCAGGTGGACTGCACACACAATAGGTGGCTAAAGCACACTGCTATCCAGGCACTCCCAGCACCCTTCCCCAACCTTTGACACCTCGCCAACGTGGGCAGCATCAGGTGGACCGCACACACAATAGGTGGCTAAAGCACACTGCTATCCAGGCACTCCCAGCACCCCTCCCCAACCTTTGACCCCTCGCCAACGTGGGCAGCATCAGGTGGACCATACATAGGTGGCTAAAGCAATGCTATCCAGGCACTTCCAGCACCCCACTCACCTTCTCCTTGACGCCCCCAACGGGCAGCACCAGGCCTCTGAGCGTCAGCTCTCCAGACATAGCCGTGTCGGACCGCACACACACAGTGCATGGCCAAAGCACTGCTATCCGGGCACTCCTAGCACGGTACGCACCTTCTCCTTGACTCCCCCAACAGGCAGCACCAGGCCTCTGAGCGTCAGCTCGCCAGTCATAGCCGTGTCGGATCGCACACACACACGCTGTGTGGCTGAAGTACGTCATTCCACCATGCTCCCTACTAGGACTTTGACACCGGCAGTGGTGCACCGATCAGAGCTCACCTTCTCTTTGACACCCCCAACAGGCAGCACCAGGCCTCTGAGCGTCAGCTCGCCAGTCATAGCTGTGTCAGATCGAACACACACAGTGCATGGCCAAAGCACTGCTATCCGGGCACTCCTAGCACGGTACGCACCTTCTCCTTGACGCCCCCAACAGGCAGCACCAGGCCTCTGAGCGTCAGCTCCCCAGTCATAGCCGTGTCGGATCGAACACACACAGTGCATGGCCAAAGCACTGCTATCCGGGCACTCCTAGCACGGTACGCACCTTCTCCTTGACTCCCCCTACAGGTAGCACCAGGCCTCTGAGCGTCAGCTCGCCAGTCATAGCCGTGTCGGACCGCACACACACAGTGCATGGCCAAAGCACTGCTATCCGGGCACTCCTAGCACGGTACGCACCTTCTCCTTGACGCCCCCTACAGGCAGCACCAGGCCTCTGAGCGTCAGCTCCCCAGTCATGGCCGTGTCAGACCGCACACAGCCACTGGGTTGACACATTCCCGATATCCTACCACTTGCCCAGCTCTCACCTTCTCCTTGACCCCCCCTACAGGCAGCACCAGGCCTCTGAGGGTGAGCTCGCCAGTCATGGCCGTGTCGGACCGCACACAGCGGTTGGAGAGGAGAGACACGAGCGCGGTTACCAGCGTAACACCGGCCGATGGGCCGTCCTTAGGCACAGCGCCTGTAACGAGTGAGTGAGAGGGGAACACATTGAAGATCAGTTGATGATACGTTCTACGCAGCTGCATATCGGGCTCAGAGAGGAGAGACACGAGTGCGGTTACCAGCATGACTCCGGCTGAAAGGCTGTCCTTAGGCACAGCACCTGTAATGAGTGAGTGAGAGGGGAACACATTGAAGATCAGTTGATGATACGTTCTACGCAGCTGCATATCGAGGTCAGAGAGGAGAGACACGAGCGCGGTTACCAGCGTAACACCGGCCGATGGGCCGTCCTTAGGCACAGCACCTGTAATGAGTGAGCGGGAGGGAAATTCGTTGGAGATTAGTTGATGAGGCTATTTATTTAGCTGCATAGTGAGCTTGGAGAGGGGAGAGACGAGGGCGGTTACCAGCGTAACACCGGCCGATGGGCCATCCTTAGGCACAGCACCTGTAATGAGTGAGTGAGAGGGGAACACATTGAAGATCAGTTGATGATACGTTCTACGCAGCTGCATATCAGGCTCCGAGAGGAGAGACACGAGTGCGGTTACCAGCATGACTCCGGCTGAAAGGCTGTCCTTAGGCCCAGCACCTGGAGTGAGAGTGGGAGGGGAACACATGGGAGAGCATCCTGCTAAGGAGGGACACGAGCGCAGTTACCAGCGCAACACCGGCTGAAAGGCTGTCCTTAGGCACAGCACCTGGAGTGAGTGAGTGCGACACGTTGAAGATCAGTTGATGATACTTTCTACGCAGCTGATAGTGGGCCCAGAGAGGAGGGGCACGAGCACGGTTACCAGCGTGACTCTGTCTGAAAGGCTGTCCTTAGGCACAGAACCTGGAGTGAGTGAGTGAGACACGTTCAAGATCAGTTGATGATACTTTCTACGCAGCTGATAGTGGGCCCAGAGAGGAGGGGCACGAGCACGGTTACCAGCGTGACTCTGTCTGAAAGGCTGTCCTTAGGCACAGAACCTGGAGTGAGTGAGTGAGACACGTTCAAGATCAGTTGATGATACTTTCTACGCAGCTGATAGTGGGCCCAGAGAGGAGGGGCACGAGCACGGTTACCAGCGTGACTCTGTCTGAAAGGCTGTCCTTAGGCACAGAACCTGGAGTGAGTGAGTGAGACACGTTCAAGATCAGTTGATGATACTTTCTACGCAGCTGATAGTGGGCCCAGAGAGGAGGGGCACGAGCGCGGTTACCAGCGTAACACCGGCCGATGGGCCATCCTTAGGCACAGCACCTGTAATGAGTGAGTGAGAGGGGAACACGTTGAGGATCAGTTGATGATACTTTCTACGCAGCTGCATATCCAGCTCAGAGAGGAGAGACACGAGAGCGGTAACCAGCGTAACACCGGCTGAAAGGCTGTCCTTAGGCACAGCTCCTGTAATGAATGAATGAGTGAGTGAGACACGTTGAAGATCAGTTGAAGATACTTTCTACGCAGCTGCATATCGAGGTCAGAGAGGAGAGACACGAGCGCGGTTACCAGCGTAACACCGGCCGATGGGCCATCCTTAGGCACAGCACCTGTAATGAGTGAGTGAGAGGGGAACACATTGAAGATCAGTTGATGATACTTTCTAAGCAGCTGCATATCGGGCCCAGAGAGGAGTGACACGAGCGCGGTTACCAGCGTAACACCAGCCGATGGGCCGTCATTAGGCACAGCGCCTGTAAGTGAGTGGGAAGGCAGGAAACACATGGGCAATCAGTGTAAGAGAGACACGAGCGCGGTTACCAGCGTAACACCAGCTGATGGGCCGTCCTTAGGCACAGCACCTGGAGTCAGTGAGTGGGAGGGAAGGCAACACAAATCAGCCCAGTGAGGTGGGACACGAGCGTGATTCCCAGCATACACGAGCTCGGTTACCAACGTGACTCCGGCCGATGGGCCATCCTTAGGCACAGCACCTGGAGTGAGTGAGTAGGAGGGAAGGCAACACACATGGGAAAGAACTTGCAAGTGAGTTCCAGCATGGTGCAGACAGAATTGTTGGAGAGGAGAGGGAGAGACACGAGCGCAGCTGTATGTGAGACACGAGTTCCTTGGACACAGCACCTGTATGTGAATGGGAAGGGAACACACATGGGAAAGAACTTGCAAGTGAGTTCCAGCATGGTGCAGACAGAATTGTTGGAGAGGAGAGGGAGAGACACGAGCGCGGCTGTATGTGAGACACGAGTTCCTTGGACACAGCACCTGTATGTGAATGGGAAGGGAACACACATGGGAAAGAACTTGCAAGTGAGTTCCAGCATGGTGCAGACAGAATTGTTGGAGAGGAGAGGGAGAGACACGAGCGCGGCTGTATGTGAGACACGAGTTCCTTGGGCACAGCACCTGTATGTGAATGGGAAGGGAACACACATGGGAAAGAACTTGCAAGTGAGTTCCAGCATGGTGCAGACAGAATTGTTGGAGAGGAGAGGGAGAGACACGAGCGTGGTTACCAGCGCAACGCGCGATTGTGGGGGAGTGAATGAATTTCGTCATAGGCCTCTAATTCTCTCGGTGCATGTGTTACCTGCGGGAAAGTGGATGTGGATGTCTCGCTCCCCTCCATGAGAGTATAAGGGAGAGGCGAGGCACCGGGCTAGATGAGGACGATAAGCTGTTGCTCTTTCCATTGGAAACTGCTACAGCAAAGCACAAGGAGCTGACAAATACCTGCGGGGAAGTGGATGTGGATGTCTCGCTCCCCTCCATGAGAGTATAAGGGAGAGGCGAGGCACCGGGCTAGATGAGGACGATAAGCTGTTGCTCTTTCCAAAGGAAACTGCTACAGCAAAGCACAAGGGGCTGACAAATACCTGCGGGGAAGTGGATGTGGATGTCTCGCCCCCCTCCATGAGGTTGCGAGGGAGAGGCACGGGGCCGGAGGAAGGCGAGGAGAAGGAGGAGGAATGGGAAAAGCCATCGTATGTAGGTAACTACAGCAAAGCACAAGTGAGAAAGGAGTGGCGTGTGTTACCTGCGGGGAAGTGGATGTGGATGTCTCGCCCCTCCATGAGGTTGCGAGGGAGAGGCACGGGGCCAGTTGAGGATGCGCTGTTGCTGCCACGGCGGATGCTGCTGCTGCTGCTCTTGCCGTTGGTAGTAGCAGCAGTGCTCGGGTGGGCCATACTGGCATAAGCAGAAGACTTTTGAGGCGCCTCAAAAATGTTGTTACTGATGCTGCTGCTGCTGCTGCTCTTGTCGTTAATAATAATAGCAGCAGTGCTCGGGTAAGCCATGCTGGCATAAGCAGAAGACTTTTGAGGCGCCTCAAAAATGTTGTTGCTGATGCTGCTGCTGCTGCTCTTGCCGTTGGTAATAGCAGCAGTGCTCGGGTAGGCCATGCTGGCATAAGCAGAAACATCAGCAGCAGTGCCGGAGGGAGCAGCGGCAGCAACTGCAGCAGAAGAGGGAGCAGCAGTGCGAGAAGCAGCAGTGGCATAAGTACCAGCAGCAGCAACAGCAGGAGTAGACGAAGTGACAGGAGGAGCGAAGGAGGTGGGAAGGATGGTGGGGACGACAGTAGGAGCGGATGCGGGAGAGGAGGAGATAGCTCCATAGGGGCCGAGAGGGGGGAGGTGGTCGGGAGACGGTGTGGAGTCATCGAATGGATGGTCTGATGGGATAAAGGGCGGAGAGGAGGAGGAGGGAGGGGTAGAGGTAGCGGGTGGTGGGAAGAGCTCGGCTGCCCTGGCACGGACCTGAAGGGGTTGAGTTAAATTACAGAGGGAATTGGAAAAAGAAAGGGCAGAAACGGGAGACTGGATGAGGAAGAGAGGAGACAAGGTAGAGAGCGGGGAGGTGGTCGGGAGACGGTGTGGTGTCATCGAATGGGTGGTCTGATGGTGTGAAAGGCGGAGAGGAGGAGGAGGGAGGGGTGGAGGTAGAGGGTGGTGGGAAGAGTTCTGCTGCCCTGGCACGGACCTGAAGGGGTTGAGTTAAATTACAGAGGGAATTGGTAAAAGAAAGGGCAGAAAAGGGAGAGTGGATGAGGAAGAGAGGAGACAAGGAAGAGAGGAGGGAGGTGGTCGGGAGACGGTGTGGAGTCATCGAATGGATGGTCTGATGGGGTGAATGGTGGAGGAGAGCAGGAGGAGGGAGCGGAGGAGGTGGACGGTGGTGGGAAGAGCTCTGCTGCCCTGGCACGGACCTGAGGGGATTGAGGGAAGAGGAGGAGATAAGGAGAGGAGATAAGGAGAGGAGATAATGAAGAGAGGAGGGAGGTGGTCGGGAGACGGTGTGGAGTCATCGAACGGGTGGTCTGATTGGATAAAGGGCAGAGAGGAGGAGGAGGGAATGGAGGTAGGGGGTGGTGGGAAGAGCCCTGCTGCCCTGGCACGGACCTGAAGGGGTTGAGAGGCAAAGAACAGAGGGGATTACGGAGAATAGAGAAGAAAAAGAGAGGGGATGAGGAAGAGAGAGGAGGCGGTCGGGAGATGGTGTGGTATCATGAAGTGGATGGTCTGACAGGATAAAGAGCGGAGAGGAGGAGAGAGGGGAGGAGGTAGGGGGTGGTGGGAAGAGTTCTGCTGCCCTGGCACGAACCTGAGGGGATTGAGGGAAGAGGAGGAGAAAAGGAGAGGAGATAAGGAAGAGAGGAGGGAGGTGGTCGGGAGACGGTGTGGAGTCATCGAACGGGTGGTCTGATTGGATAAAGGGCAGAGAGGAGGAGGAGGGAATGGAGGTAGGGGGTGGTGGGAAGAGTTCTGCTGCCCTGGCACCTAAGTGGCAAAAGACGCTGGGCGCGTCATGCGTCCTGCGTCTGGACGCAGCGTCCGGACGCAGGGACGCTGGACGCGCGTCCAGACGCAGGACGCACGGCATAATTTTTTTCGGGCTGACCGGATTTTTTTTGTTTTGTTTCCCGATCGCGAAGTTGACATTCGCGATTTCGACGCGAATGTCAATGTCGCGAAATTTCGACCCCCAGACCCATTTCGACCATCAAAAACAGCCCACACACAATTCTCCTTCGTAAACCCTTGAGGGTTTAGCTACCTTTCGCTCCATAGTGCTACCTTTCGCTCCATAGCTATGTTTTTGCCTCACATGTGTGATACGTCGTCCTCCCCCCCCTTCCCATGCCCTATAACGTGTTTTTTTGGCTGCCCGGGGGCTTCTTTTGCCCTGCCCGGGCCTGCGTCTTTTGCTGCGTCTCAAAGGCCCACATCATGCGTCCTGCGTCTAAGACGCTGCGTCTGGACGCACTCGTCTTAGACGCAGGACGCGTCTTTTGCCACTAAGCCTGGCACGAACCTGAGGGGGTATGAGACAAAGAGCAAAGTGAATTAGGTGGTGGTGGGAAGAGAAAAGAGAGTAGGTGGTGGTGGGAAGAGCTCCGCTTCCCTGGCACGGACCTGAGAGGGTTGAGGCAAAGAACAGAGGGGATTAGGAAAAACAGGAAAGGGAAAGGCAGTGGGTGAAGAAGAGGGGACCCAGAGGGGTGAGGTGGTCGGCAGCAGGTGTGGAGTCATCGAATGGATGGTCTGATGGGGTGTAAGGCGGAGGAGAGGAGGAGGATGGGTTGGAGGTAGGGGGTGGCGGGAAGAGCTCTGCTGCCCTGGCACGGACCTGAGGGGACTGAGACAAAGAAGAGAGGGGATTGGGGAAGAGGGAGATGAAGAAGAAGGTGGAGGGTGGTTGGAAGAGCTCTGCTGCCCTGGCACGGACCTGAGGTGGTTGGGGGAAAGAATGGGAGAAAAGGAGAGCAGATTAGGAAGAGAGAGGGGGAGGTGGTCGGCAGCAGGTGTGGTGTCATCGAATGGATGGTCTGATTGGGTGTAAGGCGGAGGAGAGGAGGAGGATGGGCTGGAGGTAGGGGGTCATGGGAAGAGTTCTGCTGCCCTGGCACGGATATGAGGGATGACGCAAAGAAGTGGGGATTGGCGAAGAAAGAGGGAGATGAGGAAGAGAGAGGATGGGGAAGAGAAGGGACGAGGACGAGACAAGGAAGGTGGTCAACAGCAAGCGCATTCATAGTTAAGCCCGTTACACTCGTTATAACTCAGATAGAGCAAAGAGCAATCTGAACCACACTCGTTATAAGCTTAACCAAGTAAGAATAATCTGGGCTGACTCTTTGATCACATCTCCGAGCTGTCCAGTCAACTGCAGCCCCCCCTTCCGCACCATGTGTGGGGTTGATCCTTCCCCACCCTCATACTCGTTAAAAGCTCACCCAGGTGAGAGCAATCTGGGCCGACTCCTTGATCACATCCCCTAGTTGTCCTGTCAGATGCAGCTCGCCTTTCCCCACCATGTCTGTCACTCATACCTCTCCACCCTCCTACCCCTGGACTGGAAACCTCTCCCTATACTCGTGATAAACTCACCCAAGTTAGAGCAATCTGGGCTGACTCCTTGATTACATCCCCCTAGCTGTCCAGTCAGATGCAGCTCGCCCTTCCCCACCATGTCTGTCGCTTCAACAAACTGCACCTCGCCCCCCACTGCTGCTGATCATGCCTCTCCACCCTCATACTCGTTATAAGCCAACTTCAAACTCCTTCCAAACTCACCCAGGTGAGAGCAATCTGGGCTGACTCCTTGATCACATCCCCCAGCTGCCCTGTCAGATGCAGCTCTCCTTTCCCCACCATGTCTGTCGCTTCTACAAACTGCACCTCGCCCCCCACCGCCGTCCACACCAGCCCAACTTCATACTCGCTATTAACTCACCCAAGTTAGAGCAATCTGAGCCGACTCTTTAATTACATCTCCGAGTTGTCCGGTTAGATGCAGCTCCCCTTTCCCCACCATGTCCGTTGCTTCGACAAACTGCACCTCCCCACCCACTGCCGTCCACACCAACCCCACCGCCACTCCCGGTGTTGCCACCCTCTCTGCCGCCTCCCTGCCGTCAAACTTGGGCGGCTGAGATCGGGAGAGAGGAGGGGGGAGCCGGGAGAGGGGAGAGGGGAGAAGGGAAGGAAGAGGAACAGGGGAAAAAAGAGAGGGGGCCAAAAGAGGTTTCTGCAAACTGCACCTCCCCCCCCACTGCCGTCCACACCAACCCCACCGCCACTCCCGGTGTCGCCACTCTCTCTGCTGCCTCCCTGCCATCAAACTTGGGGGGCTGGGAGAAGGGAGAGGGGAGAAGGGACAAGAGAGAAGGGAAGGGAGAGGAACAGGGTAAAGGAAAGAGGGGGCCAAAAGAGGCTTTTAAAAACTGCACCTCGGTCCCCACTGCCGTCCACACCAGCCCAACCGCCACTCCCGGTGTCGCCACCCTCTCTGCTGCCTCCCTGCCATCAAACTTGGGAGGCTGAGAGTAGGGAGAGGGGAGAGGGGAGAGGGGAGAGGGGAGAGAGGAGAGGGGAGAGGGGAGAGGGGAGAGGGGAGAGGGGAGAGGGGAGAGGGGAGAGGGGAGAGGGGAGAGGGGAGAGGGGAGAGGAGAGACGGGAGAGGGGAGAGGGGAAAGGGAAGAAGGGAGAGGGGAGAAGGGAGAGGGGAGAAGGGAATAGGGGAGAGAGAGAAACAGGGGAAAAGTAAGAGGGGGCCAAAAGAGGCTTCAACAAACTGCACCTCGCCCCCCACTGCAGTCCACACCAGCCCCACCGCCACTCCCGGGGTTGCCACCCTCTCTGCTGCCTCCCTGCCATCAAACTTGGGGGGCTGAGAGAAGGGAGAGGTTATCGGCGAGAGGGTAGAGGGGATAGGGGAGGGAGGGGTGATGGGGGAGAGGAGAGGGGAGAGGGGAGAAGGGAAGGGAGAGGAAAAGGGAGAAAGGAAAATGGGGGCCAAAAGGGGCTTCAACGAACTGCACCTCGCCCTATTTGTGTTACTTTTAAGAATTCTCAAAAGGCTTCGACAACTGCACTTCGCCCCCCACTGCCGTCCACACCAACCCAACCGCCACTCCCGGTGTCGCCTGTTAGAAATAGTCAGTCAACACTTTGTACTATATTCTATATCGGTTAGGTTACTTTGTAGGTTGGGTGTAGATTTGTAATCCCAACCCTATCTGGTTGGGATTCCCTCGTAATCCTGCAAATCTGCCAACTCACCAATTGGAGATTTGCTAGGATTCCCATCCCATCCTTTCCCTAGCTTTGCTCAACCCAACCGTGTTTGTACTTAAGGCCTCGTGCCTTCCTTATCAATCAATCAGTTAAGTTCCAATTCTATCATGGTATCGAGCTAGTAAATTCCGCTCACGTGGAATCCGATCCTTGGCGTCCCGATGGTTCTCTCCTTCTAGGCTATGCCTATTTCGGCTCCCGGCTCCTACGCTTAGCGTATTTCAGAAACTTCACATCGTCGCTCCGTTCAAGCGCGCATTCGGCTTCCTTCATCGCGCTTCTCGTTTTTCAACGGCGACATTTTCAGCTTTCGACTTCCTTCATCGTAAGCCTCTGGTTTTCAAATCTCCGTCGAAATTTTCGCATCTTCTTAACTTCGAACAGGTTTTCAGCGGCGCAGCGGAACAGGTCCAGCGGCGCAGCGGAACAGGTTTTCAGCAGCGCAGCGGAACAGGTCCAGCGGCGCAGCGGAACAGGTTTTCAGCAGCGCAGCGGAACAGGTCCAGCGGCGCAGCAGAACAGGTTTTCAGCGGCGCAGCGGAACAGGTTCAGCGGCGCAGCAGAACAGGTTTTCAGCGGCGCAGCAGAGCAGGTTTTCAGCGGCGCAGCAGAACAGGTTCAGCGGCGCAGCAGAACAGGTTCAGCGGCGCAGCAGAACAGGTTCAGCGGCGCAGCAGAACAGGTCAGCGGCGCAGCAGCGAAGCAGAAAAGGGGGCATCGGCGAAGCAGTATAACAGGGTATTTTACGGGCATTCTATTGCCGAAATCGCGTTTCGGACTTCCTCAATTTCCAAAATCGCCGCGCTGCGCTCCGCTACGTATCGGAGACTTTAGCGCTGCGCTCTGCGCGAAATGGCAACTTCTACTTCCACTCTCGTCGGAAACCTCATCATCCTTAACCTCGCTCCCAACGGCACGAGCACCAATTTCGGGGAGTGGTGCTATGGAGTGGAGAAGCACCTCCTTAGCTCGGAGCTCAAGGGGGTTTGCCTCAAGGACATCCTCCTCAACCGCGGCAAGGGGAAGATGCCTCTCCCTCCCGATCCTCTCGGTGAAGGCGCCACTCCCACAGCCAAGAGCGCTTTCGATGCTAAGACCACCAAGTATGAGACGGACTTCAGTCTCTGGGAGCAGGCGGATGCGGCAGTGATTAGGGTTTTCATCACCACCACCCCAGTTGAGTTAGTCAAGTCCTACCGCACCTTCCGCTCTGCGCATGACATTTGGAAGTACCTCCAGGATCGTTTTCATGACAAGATTGCCGTGGGAGTTGCAATCCTCATTCCTCGCATGTTCCAAATCCGCCTTGAGGAATGCCCGGGCATGGCAGATTACATCTCTGAAATCCGCAACATCCATGAGGAGCTCAAGGACATTGGGATCACCTTCCCCGAACAGGCACCTGCTGCTGGGCTTCTCGTCGGACTCACCCCGGCCTACAACGTCACCAGTTCCATGCTCAAGCAGCTCCCCACCAAGGAACTCACCTTCGAGAAAGTCGCTTCGGCCCTTCTCTCTGCGGAAAAGGACCTTGCAGCCCAGGCATCAGTCAATGCTGTGCGCTACTCCCCTGGCATTCCATTTCGTTCCCACCAGGGCCAGAGGCGCAACTCCTTTCCCCCATGCCAGTACCTCATTAGGAAGGGTCCACGTGCGGGGCAGAAGTGCAACGGCACCAACCACCCTGAGGCCACTTGTTTCAAGAAGCGAGATGACGAGTGGTATGACGTCCATGGTGTCTCCAAGGACAAGCGCCCTCCCAACTGGGCACCACCCCGTCGCGTGAACCAGGTCGAGGCAGTGGAGGAACCTGCTCAGGCATTTGCTAGCGCCCCATCTGATGTTCGCCTTAACCTGTTGTTCTCTGGTGCTGGTCTTATTAATGAGAAGGGGTCGCAGTACATCGGTGTTTCAACCACACAGGGAATCGAGTTCATACTAGACAGTGGTGCCACCCACACAGTGCTTAAAGACCAAACCGCCTTCGTTCCCTATTAGGCTCCCACCTCACTCCTTGGAGCAGATTCTAGCTTCTCCATCCAATGCCATGGCTCCTCCACAGTTTCCTGTCCAGCATTCCCATCTGGCACCGTCACTGGCATCTGTGCCCCAACCCTCCGCTACAACCTTCTTGCACAGCGGGAAATCCAACACGCAGGCGTGATCACCATCTTTCCCAATGATGTTGACTACTGTGACATGTTTGACGCCAAAACCGGACTCCATCTTGCCCGCTTCACCCTCAACTCCAACAACCTGTACACACTAGTTGTACCTCCCGTTCAAACATGCTCCCTCACCAACCTTCCGCTTCCATCCTCAGACTCCCCCTCATGCCACTGCCGCCTCCTCACTGACAAGACTATGCTATTTCATAACCGCCTCGGCCACATCAACTTCCGCGCACTTTCCGACCTTGCCACCAAGCAACTCCTTCATGGACTGCCCGCCTCACTTCCACAACCCCCCTCTCTTTCTGGACCGCCTTGCCTTGACTGTGCACAGAGCAAGCTTCGGGAACAGCCCCATCCTCCCACTGAGTCCATCTCTACCGCACCTCTCGATCGCGTACACATGGACCTTTGGGGTCCAGCTCCTGTTCGTTCCCGTGGCGGACACTTCTACTTCCTTGTCATCGTTGATGACTATTCCCGCTATGTGTCTGTTCACCTTCTCACCGCCAAGTCTGAAGCCCCAGCCATAATCATGGAATGGGCTAGGCAGGCTCATTCACACTTCAAAACCAAAATCAAGTTTCTTCACTCTGACGGTGGCGGTGAATTCCGCAACAACACTCTCAAAGCTTTCTGCTCTACTGAGGGTATCCAACAGACCTTCACTCTCCCAGACAGCCCTCAACAGAACGGTGTTGCTGAAAGCCGAAACCGCATCCTGGTGCAGATTGCTCGCTGCCTCCTCACTCATGCTTCCTCCCCTCCCTCTCTTTGGGGATACGCCATGCTCCATGCTGCCGCCCTCCACAATCTCCATCCTCATCCTCACCACACCCACACCACCCCCGCAGAGCTGTGGACGGGTCAAAAGCCGTCCGTCCGCCCTCTTCGTGTATGGGGGTGCACTTCCTATGTCCTCCTCAACTCCCAAGCCCGTCGTGCAGCTGGCGGCAAGCTTGCTCCGAAAACAATCACGTGCGTGTACCTCGGGCACAACTTGGACTCACCAGACTACCTCTTCCTCCATCCTACCACCAACAAACTCTATCGCAGCCGAGATGTTTTCTTCGATGAATCCCACCCATTCTACCCCTCCTCCACAGTTTCTCCTTCTCCTCCTCCTCTTTCTCTAACATGGGCTGACTTTGACATCCTTCCTCCTGCCACCACTCCATCTCCTCCTCTTCCCGCTCCCTCCACAGTTTCCGACCCCCCGTCACCCGCTTCCCCATCCAGCACCACGCAGTCTCCCCCGCTCCTTCCCGCCCCCGAGTCCATTCCTCTCAAAACCTACCAACGCCGTCCTCCTGCTGCTGCTCCTGCTCCTGCTCCACCTCCTGCTCCTGATCTGGCTCCTGCTCCCGATTCAGCTGCTGCTCCTGATGCTGCCACTACACCTCCTGCTTCTCCTCCTCCAGCTCCGCCTCCCTCCCCCATCGCTGGTCGCACCCGCTCGCACAAAGCTCCCAAGCCTCTTTCCCTTTCCATTCGTGTCTCTCTCAATCCTCCTCCTGTCGGGGGTGATTATTCGCTCATGCCCTCCCTTCTTGAGGACAGACATGAGGAGTTGATTGACATTGACTCAGCCATACACGCGCTCTGCTCTCTCTTTCCAGATATCGCAGAATCTCCCACCCTCAACTTCTCAGACAACCCCTCCATCCCCACACCTCTCACCTATGCTGAAGCAGTTTCTGGTCCTAACTCCGCTCAGTGGATAGGGGCCATTATCGCAGAGTGTGAGGCCTTCATTCACACAGGGACTTTCACAGATATCATTCCTCCCTCCGGCGTCAACATTGTGAAGGGAAAATGGGTTTTCCGGGTGAAACAACTTCCAGGCGAATTTCCTGTCTTCAAAGCCCGGTACTGTGCCAAGGGATTTACCCAAAAGCGTGGACTGGACTTCTTTGAGACATTCTCTCCCACTGCCAAACCTCCCACACTGCGCACCCTTCTCGATGTGGCCGCTCGAGATGACATGGAGGTTGACTGCATGGATGTGTCTTCTGCGTTTCTGCAAGGGATCCTTCGAGAGGAAATCTACATGGAGCGGCCCGAAGGATTTCCAGCTCCTTTTCCACCAGGCACTGTATGGAAGCTGAATCGACCAGTATATGGCCTCAAGCAAGCACCCCGGGAATGGCACAACAAGCTCAAGAGCACCTTAGGGTCCCTCGACTTTCACCCATCCACCTCTGACCCCAGCCTCTTCATTCGAGCAACACCATCCCGCTTCTTCATCTTGGTTTATGTCGATGACATGATCCTTGTCACCAAGGATCAGACTGAGCTGGCAGCAGTCAAAGCCGCACTTGGTGAGAAGCTGGCCATGAAGGATCTTGGGAAGCTGACGAACTATCTGGGCATGGAAATCACACGTGATCGCACGGCCCGCACCATCACCCTCTCGCAGAAGTTCTACATCAACAACGTTCTGACAAGGTTCAAGATGCAGGAAGCAGCTTCAATGCCCACCCCACTCTCTCTGCAGCACCAACTCACTGCACCCTCTGTTCCCTCACCTGAGCCCTGCGATGAGGCTTACCCCGAGCTCGTTGGTTCCCTCATGTACGCGATGATGTGCACTCGACCAGACTTGGCCTATCCAGTCAGTGTCCTGTCTCGCTACGTTGCACCTGGTCGCTTCACGAGCCACCACTGGTCTGCCGCCAAGCAGGTCCTCCGCTATCTCAAAGGCACACAAGATTATGTGCTCACTCTTGGCGGCTCTTCCCCTGTTCGCCTTGAGGGGTACAGTGACTCGTCCTATGCTGATGACCAGAGTGATCGGCGCTCTTCCCAAGGGTATTGCTTTACCCTTGGCAGTGGGGTTGTCAGTTGGCGCTCCACTCGGTCGTCTTCCGTCTCACTGTCGACCTGTGAGGCAGAGCTGTATGCACGGACCATGGCTGCCCAGGAGGCCCGTTGGCTCTCCTTGTTGGCAGAACTTGGGTATCCTCAACCAGCCCCAACGCTTTGGTGTGACAACGAGAGCACCATTCATCTCACCAAGGACCCTGTCTTCCACGGCCGCACCAAGCACATTGAAGTCCGTCACTACTTTCTTCGTGAGCTGGTGCAGCGCGAGCAGCTGAAGGCAGAACACATTGCCTCCGACTGCAACCTTGCTGACTTGTTTACCAAGTCTCTTGTTCGTCAAGACCACTACCGCCTCCTCTCGTCCATGGGTGTTGGACCGCCATGTGGCTGAAGTGTTGTCAGCCTAGGGGGTGTGTTAGAAATAGTCAGTCAACACTTTGTACTATATTCTATATCGGTTAGGTTACTTTGTAGGTTGGGTGTAGATTTGTAATCCCAACCCTATCTGGTTGGGATTCCCTCGTAATCCTGCAAATCTGCCAACTCACCAATTGGAGATTTGCTAGGATTCCCATCCCATCCTTTCCCTAGCTTTGCTCAACCCAACCGTGTTTGTACTTAAGGCCTCGTGCCTTCCTTATCAATCAATCAGTTAAGTTCCAATTCTATCATCGCCACCCTCTCTGCTGCCTCCCTGCCATCAAACTTGGGAGGCTGAGATGGGGAGAGGGGAGGGAGGATAAGGGAAGGGAGAGGTAAAGGGGAAAAGAAAGAGGGGGCCAAAAGAGGATTCAACAAACTGCACCTCCCCCCCCACTGCCGTCCACACCAGCCCAATCGCCACTCCTGGCGTTGCCACCCTCTCTGCTGCCTCCCTGCCATCAAACTTGGGAGGCTGGGAGAAGAGAGAGGGGAGAAGGGAAGGAAGAGAAGCATGGGAAAGGAAAGCGGGGGCCAAAAGAGGCTTCGACAAACTGCACTTCGCCCCCCACTGCAGTCCACACCAGCCCCACCGCCACTCCCGGTGTCGCCACTCTCTCTGCTGCCTCCCTGCCGTCAAACTTGGGGGGCTGGGGAGAGTGGAAGGGAGGGAAACAGTAGAAGGGAAAAATGGATGGACACGGTTTGGTAGTGCGCAGAGCAGTGAAAGTGAACAGGAGAGGGTTGGGTTCGGGGGACAGGGGAGAGGGGAGAGAGGTGCGGAAGCACATCACATCACACAAGCAGCATCGCTCGTTCTATACGCAAACAACACACAGTGTACTCATAAGAATACTACCACATTGTTCACACAACATTGCCCCTTACACTTACGAACAGAGCAACTTTTGAGGTCGTTCTATACGCTAACAACATACAGTGCACTCTTAAGAAAACTACCACACTGTCCAGACAACATTGCCCCTTAATGCTAATGCCATGGTACCCGCACCCACTCACTCGCCCCCAGAACCTTCTCCAGCATCTCCTCTGTGACCTCCATGGGGTTCGAGCATTCCCTTACGAATCTCACCCGCCCTAATGCCAAATGCCCGGCAGCACCAACCCGAAATGCCAACGCCATGGTATCACCACTCACCCCCAGCACCTTCTCCAGCATCTGCTCTCCTCCGTGACCTCCGTGGGGTTCGAGCATTCCCCTACCACCAATGTTATCTGCCTTAATGATAATGCCACTACCACTGCCAATGCCAATGTCTTTGCCAATGCGAATACCATGTTGCCACCACTCACCCCCAGCACTTTCTCCAGCATCTCCTCCGCGACCTCCATGGGGTTCGAGCATTCCCTTACCAATATCACCCGCCCTAATGCCAAATGCCTGGCAGCACCAACCCGAAATGACAATGTAATTGTATCACCAGTCACTCACCCCCAGCACCTTCTCCAACATCTCCTCTCCTCTGTGACCTCCATGGGGTTCGAGCATTCCCTTACCAATATCACCCGCCCTAATGCCAAATGCCTGGCAGCACCAACCCGAAATGACAATGTCATTGTATCACCAGTCACTCACCCCCAGCACCTTCTCCAGCATCTCCTCTGTGACTTCAATTGGGTCCGAGTCCGCCATCACTGCTGCCACCTCCTTGCCCTGGCAGGTGAGGGGTAAACGTGGAGGCAAGAAGACGTGGAGAGCGGTTCAGGGGAGTGGAGAGGAGTAGAGAGGAATATCAAAGTGCAGCACGCAGCACGGAATTGCAGCACCCATTCCTCTCCACCATCTCCTCCGTGACCTCGATTGGGTCTGAGTCCGCCATCACTGCTGCCACCTCCTTGCCCTGGCAGGGTGGGTTTCAGTGGTATAAAGGAAAAAGAGCGGTGCAGAGGGGTTAAGAGGAGGGACCTGGAGCATCCATTCTTCTCCAGCATCTCCTCCGTGACCTCGATTGGGTCAGAGTCCGCCATCACTGCCGCCACCTCCTTGCCCTGACAGGGTGGGGTTCAGAGGGGTGGAGAGGGAAGGAGAGCGGTGCAGAGAGGTGAAGAGGAGGGAACACTCCAACATCCATTCTCCTCCAGCATCTCCTCCGTGACCTCGATTGGGTCAGAGTCCGCCATCACTGCTGCCACCCTCTTGCCCTGAGGGAGTGGCAGGGTTGAGGAAAGATTGGAGACATGCGGGGTGGAGAGGAGTGGAGAATGGTAGGGGCAGTTGCAGAGGGATTACACGGTGGTCATGGTCAGCTGTAACAACGTGATCAAAGGTTGTTAATGAGACGTCTCAAAAGCTGCCACCTGGAGGGTCAACGGATAAGAGTAGCACGAATGCGGTCTAACATCGATAGAGTAGTGGAGAGGAGTGGACAGGAGTGGAGAGATCACAGAGTGCAGCACGCAACCACCAGACCAGGACACACAGAACCACATTGCACCGCTTGAACCCACCTCAACCCACCTCAACCCACCTCAACCCACCTCCATGTTAATGGCCCGAACCTGAGTTCGGAGATGACTTAAAACTCACTCCATGACAATCGCCTCCACTTCCATCTCGAGCTCCGCCTTGGCATCCCCCACTGCCGCTGCTGTGGCCACTCTAGTCTTTCCCAGAGAGCTACACAGAACCGCACTCCACTGCAATGGACCACTCACCTCCATGACAATGGCTTCCACTTCCATCTCGAGCTCAGCCTTGGCATCCCCCACTGCCGCTGCTGCCGCCTGCCAGCAGGTCAGTTGTGACAGAGAGAGCTCCCTACTGATCCTTACTGCACCACACTGCAACGAATTGCACCGCACTGGACCAGCCTCCACTCACCTCCATCCCTATTGCCTCCACTTCCATCTCGAGTTCAGCCTTGACATCTCCCACTGCTGCTGCTGCCACCACTCTAGTCTCTAGTATTATCCAGTGAGCTACAGAGAATAGCACTCCACCGCACTGGACCAGTCTCCACTCACCTCCATCCCTATCGCCTCCACTTCCATCTCGAGCTCAGCCTTGGCGCTCCCCACTGCTGCTGCTCTCACCACTCTAGTCTTTTACCAGTGAGCCTCACACAACCGCACTCCACCGCACTGGACCGGTCTCCACTCACCTCCATCCCTATCGCCTCCACTTCCATCTCGAGCTCAGCCTTGGCGTCCCCCACTGCTGCTGCTGTGGCCAGCGGGTCAGCAGAAGTATCAGCAGAGCTATGTGCACCGGCAGGGGCAGAGCCAGCGGCAGGGAGGGGGGCGCTCACCTCCCTTGCCACTCGGATGCAGCGATTGGACTGGGCCACCTGGTGGGGGTTTGGTTTGGTGAATGGCAGAGTGGAGAGACATATGAGGGTCAGCTGCAGCAGTAGTATCAGCAGAGCTATGTGCACCGGCAGGGGCAGTCCCAGAGGCAGGGAGGGGGGCGCTCACCTCCCTCGCCACGCGGATACAGCGGTTGGACTGGGCCACCTGTGGGTGGGGTGGGGGGATGTGTGTGAGTTGAAAGAATATAATTGTTGAGATGGCAGAAGCAGAGCCAGCGGCAGGGGCAGTCCCAGAGGCAGGGAGGGGGGCGCTCACCTCCCTCGCCACTCGGATGCAGCGGTTGGACTGGGCCACCTGTGGGTGGGGGGTTGGTATGATATGGCAGAGTGGAGATAAAGGAGAGGCATACATGAGGGTAAGCCGTGGCAGTAGTAGCAGCTGAGCTGGGTGCACCGGCAGGGGAAGAACTGGGAGCAGGGGCAGTCTCCCAGGAGCAGGGGGGGACACGCTCACCTCCCTCGCCACGCGGATGCAGCGATTGGAGTGGGCCACCTGTGGGTGGGGGGTAGGTTTGATACGGCAGAGTGGAGATAAAGGAGAGGCATATATGAGGGTAAGCCGTGGCAGTGGTAGCAGCTGAGCTGGGTGCACCGGCAGGGGAAGAACTGGGAGCAGGGGCAGTCTCCCAGGAGCAGTGGGGGACCCGCTCACCTCCCTCGCCACGCGGATGCAGCGATTGGACTGGGCCACCTGTGGGTGTTGGGAGGGACGGTGGTTCAGGTCGGTGGATTTGTGGAGAACGGAAGTAGTGCAAATGGTGCTGTTGGGTTGTCAGCAGTGGGAGGTTCCTGTCAGCAGTGGAAGGTTCCTGTCAGCAGTGGAAGGTTCCTGTCAGCAGTGAAGGTTCCTGTCAGCAGTGGAAGGTTCCTGTCAGCAGTGGAAGGTTCCCGTCAGCAGTGGAAGGTTCCCGTCAGCAGTGGAAGGTTCCTGTCAGCAGTGGAAGGTTCCTGTCAGCAGTGGAAGGTTCCTGTCAGCAGTGGAAGGTTCCTGTCAGCAGTGGAAGATTCCTGTCAGCAGTGGAAGGTTCCTGTCAGCAGTGGAAGGTTCCTGTCAGCAGTGGAAGGTTCCTGTCAGCAGTGGAAGGTTCCTGTCAGCAGTGGAAGGTTCCCGTCAGCAGTGGAAGGTTCCTGTCAGCAGTGGAAGGTTCCCGTCAGCAGTGGAAGGTTCCCGTCAGCAGTGGAAGGTTCCTGTCAGCAGTGGAAGGTTCCCGTCAGCAGTGGAAGGTTCCTGTCAGCAGTGGAAGCTTCCTGTCAGCAGTGGAAGGTTCCTGTCAGCAGTGGAAGGTTCCTGTCAGCAGTGGAAGGTTCCTGTCAGCAGTGGAAGGTTCCTGTCAGCAGTGGAAGGTTCCTGTCAGTCAGCAATGCTGACTGACTGACACCGGTGGCGTTGCAAGGCTAGCCATATCTATCTCCCGTCCCCCATCCTGCCCTCCAGTTTTGAGACGTCTCAAACTGGCGTTGCAAGGCCAGCCATATCTATCTCTTCTTCCATCCCCCATCCTGCCCTCCACCCACCTGCATGGCAGCGTGTCTGGCCATTCCTGCCAGCAGCCGGCTCATCTCAGCTCAGCCTCACTCACCCTCAACCCAAGTCAACCCGAATATGCCCAGGTCAACACAAGTCAACTGTTAAGCCACCTACACGGCAGCGTGTCTGGCCAGTGCTGCCAACAGGCACCTCAGATTCCTGACTCCCGCCTCCTGTGTTTGTTGCGACTTATTGGCAGTCAACCCAAGGCAACCCAAGTCAACCAAAGTCAATCCACCTGCACGGCAGCATGTCTGGCCAGTGCTGCCAGCAGGCGGCTAAGATTCCTCACTCACTCCTGCCTCCCGTGTGTAGCGCGTTAGTAACAGTCAACCTAAGTCAACCCAAGTCAATCCACCTGCACGGCAGCATGTCTGGCCAGTGCTGCCAGCAGACGGCTCAGATTCTTCACTCACTCCTGCCTCGCGTGTGTAGCGCGTTATTAGCAGTCAACCCAAGTCAACCGTCAACCCACCTGCACAGCAGCGTGTCTGGCCAGTGCTGCCAGCAGACAGCTCAGATTCCTCACCCATACCCTCAACTCAATTCAACCCGAAGAAACCGCAGTCAACCCAAGTCAACCCAGGTCAACCCACCTGCACAGCAGCGTGTCTGGCCAGTGCTGCCAGCAAACGGCTAAGATTCCTCACTCCTGCCTCGCGTGTGTAGCGCGTTATCAGCATCTCTACTGCATGCTGTTGGGGAGAGGAGACGGACAGGGAGTAGGGAGGGGGTGGAGGGGGCGAAGAAGGGAAAGGTGTGTGTCTGTGAAGGTCTTTCACTCCTGCCTCTCGTGTGTAGCGCGATACCAGCACCTCTACTGCGTGCTGGTGGGGTGGAGAGAACAGAAAACAGGGGGTAAGGAAGGGTGTGGGTGGGAGAAGAGGGGAGAGGAACGAGTCTGTCAAGGTTCCACACTCCCGCCTGATAAGAACGAGAGGGGTAGCACGATACCAGCACCTCCCCTGCGTGCTGTTTTGGGGAGAGGAGATGGGGAAAGGGGGAAATGGGAGAGAGAAGGAGAAAAGGATGTCTGGATTGGTCCATTGACCAAGAGCTAAAGCATTGTTCACAAAGCACGCACTAAAGCCAACAAAATCCGCAAATAAAACCAAATCAGATCTCACGTCAGAGATATGCAGATGGCGCTTGGTCATGCCATGCTGCTCCAGCACGCGCGGGATGAGGTGGCGCGTGGCGATTCGGTGCTTCTCCTCAGGGGTGTTCAGAGTCCCATGCATCCCATGTGAGTCATATATCACACTCACCTTTGAGACTAAGTTGCCAAATACGCTCAGGGCACTTTGCGTTTAGCGGATATACGCTAGCGTGTAAACGCTAAACGCTAAACGCAAGCGAATACGCTATACGCTGGCCATTTTTTTTTGGGGCAGCCCGACCGAAAAAAATGTGAATATACGGAAAGATGCGGAATTGCACGACGAGCATTTTGCCACCGTCGAAATTCACGTCCGCGATTTGTGCAAGAGTGAACGGCAATTTCCGCGCTGATCGTCAATTTCCCCGCAGATCCGCGCGGATCGAAGGTTCTTCCCGCAGAAGGGATGGGGGGAAAGACTCTCCCTATATCAACGTCTTGTAGATCTGGACTGGAAGTGACGACTGTACAAATTTCAAATATCAAATTGGTTGGATGAGATAGATGCAATGCGGTGAAGGTAGGTGATGGGAGGGGGAATTGGTTGGAGGCAACATTGGCGATGGGTGTGGGGTACGAATTTCAACTTAGGCCTGGGTTTCCCTGTCCGGGATCTCTCCTACGCCTCCTCCTACACTAGAGCAATCATGCTTTGTGTTTGCGAGCCCAAAGAAGAGCAGATTCGCGCAACGCTATTGCAGTCTATAGCCTACGAACTCTGTATCTTAACCCGATTTCAGTTATTATGGGGAAAAACTTACCTCTGAAACATAACCCCTTAGATCCCCCCCCTATAATAGCCCGGGCGGTTTTTTTTCCCTGCCCGGGAAAGTTTTTTCCCTGCCCCAAAAAGCGTATGTCCAAATCGCACCCTAAGCGGATAGCGTTTATACGCTAGCGTATATACGATACGCGTACATACGCTATAAGCGTATTTGGCTACTTAGCTTTGAGAGTCCCCAAGAAAGAACAGGACTTTTGAGACGTCTCAAAAGGCGATTCGCTGCTTCTCCTCAGGGGTGTTCAGTGTCCCATGCACCCCATGTGAGTCATATATATATCACACCCACCTTTTGAGAGTCCCCAAGAAAGAACAGGACTTCAGGGCCCGCATACAGGCCAACCAAATCAAATCAAATTAGATCTCACGTCAGAGATGTGCAGATGGCGCTTGGTGATCCCGTGCTGCTCCAGCACGCGCGGGATGAGGTGGCGCGTGGCGATTCGCTGCTTCTCCTCGGGGGTGTAGCCCGGCAGCTCAATCACCTCCATGCGGTCCAGCAGAGCGGCTGGGATGGGTGCTGCGCGGTTGGCCGTCGCCACAAACACCACACGGGAGAGATCAAAGGGGACTCCCAGGTAGCTGGTGGATAGGGGAAGAAAGGAGATGCGAGAAAGGGTGACGAAATGGAAGGAGCAGGAAAAAAAAGATTGGGATGGGTGGGTGCTTCTCGGCGGAGGGGACGGGGTAGCAGCAACAGAAGTAATGAGCGACAGCCAGTCAACGACAGCCCACACAGTAAGCCCACTCTAAAGCCCAATCAACTCAACTGGTCCTGGAAGCACTTGCTCTGTTCGGGGTCCAGCACCTCCAGCAGCGCCGCAGCAACACTGTACCACTGCCCATTCTCACCCCTCTCAACCCCTCTCAACCCACTCAACTGGTCCTGGAAGCACTTGTTCTGCTCGGGGTCCAACACCTCCAGCAGCGCAGCAGCAGGGCAGTGGCAGCAGAAGTGAATCACAATCAGTCAACGACAGCCCACACAACAAGGCCACACAATCAGCCCAATCGATTGGTCCACTTAGTGCCCCACTCAACTGGTCCTGGAAGCACTTGTTCTGCTCGGGATCCAGCACCTCCAGTAGAGCAGCAGGGCAGCAGGAGGGTAGCATAGTAGCACTCAGCCACAGCCGACAACAAATGGTACCGCACTTAACCCATCTGTCCCACTCAACTGGTCCTGGAAGCACTTGTTCTGCTCGGGGTCCAGCACCTCCAGCAGTGCCGCAGCAGCACTCTACGACGGCCCACACAACTGTCTCCATTGACCTTGCAGCTCAAAACAGTACCGCACTCAACCCATCTATTCCACTCACTGGTCCTGGAAGCACTTCTTCTGCTCTGGGCTCAGCACCTCCAGCAGCGCCGCAGCAGGGCAGCAGGAGGGCAGCAGGAGGGCAGCAGGAGGGCAGCAGGAGGGCAGCAGGAGGGCAGCAGCAGGGCAGCAGGAGGGCAGCAGCAGGGCAGCAGGAGGGCAGCAGCAGGGCAGCAGGAGGGCAGCAGGAGGGCATCAAAACCCTTTCAACCCTTCTAAACCGCACTCTCCATACCTCCAAATGCAAGGAGATGATGGCAGCAGCGAGCTGCAGCCTCATCCGCGGATTCACCGCATCCAGCATCGCCAGGCGCGCTGCCAGCCCGCCCTCCACGCTGGCCACCAGCATGTCCGCCAGCCTCTGCATCTCCCCGGCCGATGCCTGGTGGGACTCTGCTGCCACCCTGCGCAGCCCTGTCACCTGCCGCTGCTTTTCCTAATAGGAGGGGGAGTGGAACAAGGAAAGAGTATGGGGAAGAGTGGGAAGAAAGCAATCCAGCATGTCTGCCAGCCTCTGCATCTCCCCGGCGGATGCCTGCTGGCTCTCCGATGCCACCCTGCGCAGCCCTGTCACCTGCCGCTGCTTCTCCTGGGAACGGAAAAGGGGAGATGGGGCAGCGAGTGAGTGAGCTGCCAGCCCGCCCTCCACGCTGGCCACGAGCACGTCTGCCAGCCTCTGCATCTCCCCGGCTGATGCCTGGTGGGCCTCTTCTGCCACTTTCCGTAGTCCTGTCACCTGCTGCTGCTTCTCCTGGGAGAGGAGGAAGGTGGAGGGCGGAGAGTGGGGGGAGGGGGGGTTTGGAGGAGTGGAACAAGGAGAGTGTTAGGGAGAGGAGGAGTGGACGAGCAAGTGAGTGAGCTGCCAGCCCGCCCTCCACGCTGGCCACGAGCACGTCTGCCAGCTTTTGCATCTCCCCAACTGATGCCTGCTGGGACTCTGCTGCCACCCTGCGAAGCCCTGTCACCTGCCGCTGCTTCTCCTGGGAGAGGTGATAAGAGAGGAAGGGAGCGGAAACAAAGCTCCCTTCACCTCTTTCAAGTGCCTCAACAACCCAACCCCCTCTCACCTGCTCCATCACCCTCGCCAGCTCTTCCACCACTCGCAGCAGCTGCCTTCCCAGCCACCTCACGTCGTCATCAAGGTTAAATGTGAGTCGACTGTAAGTCACCTCGTTTTAGTAGACTCAGAAGTCGCCTATTTGCATCAACGTTAACCCAATGCCCCTCTCTCTCACCTGCTCCATCACCCTCGCCAGATCCTCCACCACTCGCAGCAGCTGCCTTATTAGCTGCGCTGCACATCGTCTCTGTGAGAGAGGCGTCTCACAAGTAATCAAACCCCCTCTCACCTCTTTCAAGTGCCTCAACAACCCAACCCCCTCTCACCTGCTCCATCACCCGCGCCAGATCCTCCACCACTCGCAGCAGCTGCCTTCCCAGCCGCCTCACCTCGTCGTCTCCTCGCACCCGGTCCGCCTCTGTGGGGTTGAGTTGAGGTGGGGTGGATGGGAGGAGAGGTGGAGAGTGGTGAGTCGGGAGGGATTGTAGGGTGGATCGTAGCTGCCTTCCCAGCCGCCGAACCTCGTCGTCCCCTCTCACACGGTCCGCCTCTGTGGGGTAGAGGAGGGAGGGAGAAGGATGGGAGGAGAGGAGGAGAGGATGATTGCGATTTAAATATCATGTAGAGATATTATCTCTGCCTTATCTCGTTGTCCCCTCGCACGCAATCCGCCTCTGTGGGGTTGAGTTGTGGTGGGGTGGATGGGAGGAGAGGAGGGTTGTGACACAAATATCATGCAGAGGAAACCGCTGCCCCTAGTCATCCCTTCACGCGCGGTCCGCACGTGGTAGGGCCCTCTAAACCCCTCATATGCTAACCCCACCAACACCCCCCACCACCACCACCACCAGTGCCTCTCACCTTGCGGTGTGGCATTGAGTTGAGACACCCAGGCCACGTGATATGAAATGAAAGGCCCTCTAAGCGCCCTCTCTTGCTCTTTCCCGCCCTCTCCCCCCTCAGCCCCACCAGTGCTTCTCACTAACCTGGGGAGTAGCATCCAGCTGGGAAACCCGAGCCACGTGGTAGGGCCCTCTAAACCCCTCATATGCTAACCCCACCAACACCCCCCACCACCACCACCAGTGCCTCTCACCTTGCGGTGTGGCATTGAGTTGAGACACCCAGGCCACGTGATATGGCCCTGAAGGGCCCTCTAAGCGCCCTCCCTTGCTCTTTCCCGCCCTCTCCCCCCTCAGCCCCACCAGTGCTTCTTACCCTGCGAAGTGGCATCCAGCTGAGACAACCGAGCCATGTGGTAGGGGTCTCTGAGCCCCTTTCCCCTGTGCCACCCCTCACCCTCCTTCCACAACCAGTGCTTCTCACCCTGGGGGTGGCGTCCAGTTGAGACACCCGAGCCACATGGTAGGGCCCTTTAAGCCCCATTCCTTTACTCTCCCCTCCCCGCCCTCACCCTCCTTCAACCACTACCACCTCTCACCCTGCGGGGTGGCATCCAGCTGGGAGACCCGAGCCATGTGGGAGGGCCCTTTAAGCCCCCTTCCTTTACTCTCCCCTCCCCGCCCTCACCCTCCTTCCACCACCAGTGCCTCTCACCCTGGGGAGTGGCATCCAGCTGGGAGACCCGAGCCATGTGGGAGGGCCCTTCAAGCCCCCTTCCTTTACTCTCCCCTCCCCGCCCTCACCCTCCTTCCACCACCAGTGCTTCTCACCCTGGGGGGTGGCATTGAGTTGAGACACCCGAGCCACATGGTAGGGCCCTCTAAGGCCCTCTGAACCCCTTTCCCTCACTCTGACCCCCTTCTCCTTCCCCTTCCCCTCAGTCCCACCAGTGCTTCTCACCCTGCAGGGTGGCATCCAGCTGAGAGACCCGAGCCACATGGTAGGGTCCTCGCGAGTTGATGGACTGGATGGCAAAGCGGCACACGCCCTGGCGCGATAAGAGGGGGTGGGGAGAGCGGCACGAGAGGCAGAGGGGAGAAGGAGAGGTGCAAGTTTGATGCAACAGGTCCCTCCACGCCCTCCCTCCCTCCTTCCCTCCCTTCAACAGCAACCTACACTGATATAAGGTCAACTCACCTGCAGCACCACTGCATACGTCACTCGGCCTGTGGGTCTCTCCACTCCCTTAGCCACGTGCAGTGCTCGCGCCGCCACGCCCCTTGGAGAGGCAGGGCAGGGACAGACAAACCGAGAGGGAGGGAGGGAGAAGGGTGGGAGGAAGCGAGGTAGGCAAGGAGGTTGGGCTTGCACAGATTGGGAATGGTGGAAAGGAGAGTCTCTGCGGCCTGTGGGCCTCTTCGCTCCCTTGGCCACATGTAGTGCTCGTGCTGCTGTGCTGCCACGCCCCTGGGGAGAAAGGGCAGGGACGTGTTTTGAGTCGACTCGTGTTTTGAGTCGACTCAAAACTAAACTAAACACGCCTTTTGGGTCGACTCAAAACATGCCAGTGGGCCTCTTCGCTCCCTTGGCCACATGTAGTGCTCGTGCTGCCACGCCCCTCGGGAGAAAGGGCAGGGAGAAATAAACAAAGAGGGAGGGAGGAAGGGAGTAAGAGAGTGGAAGGCAAGGAGGTTGGGTTTGCACGGATTGGGAACAGGAGAAATGAAAGATTGGAGGGTCTTTTTGCACTCAAGGCACCCGGCCAGAGGCCTGTGGCAGCACCTGCAGCCGCATCAATCCACCCACCTGGGGTGCCATTTCACGTCTTCCAGCAACAGCAACCTCGATGTTCCCCCCGCCACCTCCTCCCTAACTGTAAGCACTGTCTTCCAGTCCCTTGCAACACCTCAAGCCACACCAACCCACCTGGGGTGCCAGTTCACGTCTTCCAGCAGCAGCTTCGCCGTTCCTCCGGTGACCTCCTCTGGTCCGCTAGGCCCCCACACGCGCACTGTTGCCCGCCCTCCTCCCGCCCCTTCTTCTCCCCCAGCCTTCTCTCCCGTCCCTCCTGTTCCTCCTTCCGCATTTCCATCACCGCTAGTTGCAGCATCTTTACTAGTAGCAGCACTGCCGCTAGCAGCAGCACCGCTACCAGTGCTATCCGCGGAACCAGCAGGCTCTATAACGGGTACAATACCAATCAGCGCGGGCTTGTCCTTCTGCCACAGCTCCTGCTCCACCAACCGCACGCTGCCACGTAGAGGGACAAAAGGGAGCGTGGGCACAGACAAAGCAGAAGAAGGGCGGGGCACGTGGGGAAATGGTTGAGTAACTACCTAGCTTCACGTCTCGAAAGTGCTTTAAGCAGGTTTATAAGTCGCCTAGCCTCACACGGGCATGTGGAGGGGTGTTTTGAGTTGCTGAGGCGGAAGTACGTGATTCGGGAAATCATGACGCCAGGTGCATGCAGCGTCTGGGGGCTTACATGCGGGTGAAGAAGATCAAAGCACGCGGTTGCGGAACGGCAGGATGGCCAGTCGCTTCCGGGAGCTCCACGCACAGCGGATCCTCCCCCGCTGCCCCTCCGTCCGACGCCATTTGCACGTGCTGCGACTGTTTTTATCGTACAACGACTGATGTGGTCGCAACTCAGGTTCAGGCTTACCCACTCAAGAAGACTCTGCTCACCTGCTAGGGTCGGAGCATGTGATTCGAATAATGGCCCCCGGCAGCAACACGCGATTCCGGTACGGCAGGATGGCCAGCCGCTCCGGGAGCTCCACGCACAGCGGATCCTCCGCCGCACCTCCGTCCGACGCCATTGGTTAGGTCTGCTACTGCTACTCCTACTGCTACTGCTGTGGTCGCAAAGGCGTTCTTTGGAACCGCGACGAGCAACGCGGTGCAGCGCGACGAAGATGCGAAACGCGACGAACAATGCGAAACGTGATGCTCTCTCCGAAGCGAGCTGGATTAACGACCAAGCGAGCTAGAATCCGTAAGCTAGGCTAGACGAGACGCATGCCTCGGAGCAGCATTCCTACCGGCACGTCCCTCGGTCCGTCACCGGCTAACGGTTAGGCGAGACGGCGGCCTCAGGTTCCGCCTATCCGGCTGACGCTGGGTGGGTACGGTCTCCCTCGGTGTTAGAACTGACGAGAGGAAAACGCAGCGAGAAAGAGGCTTGGAACTGGATTCTGAACCTTTGCAGAGATTCCGAGCCTGAACCTGCTCTGAGTGAACCGCAACGTCAACTAGCGCAGCACTGGCCTGCCTTGGTGACTGACAGGAGGACGTGACCTCGGGATTAGCCAGCCGCCCGCCGGGTTTCCTGCTTGGTTGAACCAGAGCCTTCTGGCGCTACTACCGCCTGAGCCTGAGGGACGTTCGTTTCGACTGGCAGAGACCAGCTCGGAGCATATCCGCTACTGGTAGCGGCGGCTCGAGAAAGCGGCGATCCCAATCTTTTCTGTCGCCCATCAAAACTGCAAGTGATGGGAACGGGAGTAGGGGAGCAGTTGAAGGTTTTCACTGCGGTAATCAACGGCTGAGGGTGTGACCGTTGTTGATGTGGTCCCCACTCCGCGTCAGCTCCAGCATGAAGCTTGCTGGAACTTGTTCGTGCTTGGAAACATACGTAGTTTGAAACCAGCGGGCGGAATCAAGCGCCATGAACCTCTCTTCGTATTCCTTTTGAATCCGAAACGTTTTAGAGATTCGGGTACAACTATTGTGCATACCCGTATTAAGAATTGCTGACAGGGCTTGGAGATGCACCCGCAAAACACAAAAGAAATCATGCATTGTGAAAACGATGCTTAGCTAACAAGCATTCTGTTACAATTTTCGCGTGAATCTCGATGATCTCACCTCTTGAGTCGTGTTGATTTCTTGAAACGAATTCTGAAACTCGAGGGTACAGATCGGGTAGGTTTGAGGCGTGTTCAGTAAGCCACATCAATGCCACGCCACCCAGTGGTGGACAATATTGGAGCGCGCCTCCAATGAAATGCGTGAACAAGTCTGCGGTCAGGAGCTTTTTACCAAATGCTGCATCAGCGCCACGACAATTCAGATTCCGATTGTCCAATCAGACGTTTTGAACCGGAGCCATCAACATCGGAATGCGTGGTTTCCAGGACTTCTGACATGGCATGATCGAGGTGGTCCCTCCAACCCACCAGACGAACCCAGTCAGCACTTTTTCAACTTTAAGCAATGACCTGAACTCAACAAAACAATCAATCGAGGTGTTAACGAATTACTCAATAAGTCAGTTCCTGACGTTTCCACCGTCAAGTTCCAAGTTTACTGCTCAGATGCCTCTTACCCGCCGTATCCTGCGGGGAACGCCAGGAACTTTAGACACAGTAAAGCGTACCAAGAGTCCATGTTGAGCACCGCAGCGACGTTCGCAGCGACGCTCGCCGCTGCTCAAGGGGCGGCTCGTTGAGTGAAACAGAGAGCAGAGACGATCCGGGCGTCGTAGGCTAAGCGGAACGGCGAAGTTTGTTTTTCGAGGCGCCTCAAGGATCGGATCGCCTCTAGAGTATATCGTGCTTCTAACACGCAAGGCCTTGTCATGCGGAACGCGGCGCTGTTCTGAAAGCTTTTGAAGTATATCAGGATTCGAGACCATGTTTAGCACGGCAGCAGGGGAGGAGCGGCACGTCGCGACTCGAGTACCTTCAGGTAGGCTTCGTTGGCATTCTCCCATGGTACCCCGCTTTCGCCTTCTCCTCTTGACTCGTGGGGGCAGGCGTGAATCACCAATCTCCACACAACCAACCATCCTTGCAATCAGCCATTTCCCTCCTCGTCTCTCACTGCTTCCCATGGTACCCCGCTTTCGCCTTCTCCTCTTGACTCGTGGGGGCAGGCGTGAGTCACCAATCTCCACACAACCAACCATCCTTGCAATCAGCCATTTCCCTCCTCATCTCTCACTGCTTCCCATGGTACTCCGCTTTCGCCTTCTCCTCTTGACTCCTAGGGGCAGGCGTGAGTCACCAATCTCCACACGACCAACCATCCTTGCAATCAGCCATCTCCCTCCTCATCTCTCACTGCTTTTCTAAACCTTAAACTCTCCTCATCTCTCACTGCTTCTCTAAACCTTAAACTCTCCTCATCTCTCACTGCTTCTCTAAACCTTAAACTCTCCTCATCTCTCACTGCTTCTCTAAACCTTCAACTCTCCTCATCTCTCACTGCTTCTCTAAACCTTAAACTCTCCTCATCTCTCACTGCTCAGTTGTTCCGCTCTCGACTCGTGGGGGCAGGCGTGGATCAACTCACCAATCTCCACACAACCAACCATCCTTGCAATCAACCCACCGTTTCCCTCCTCGGCTCTCGCTGCTTCCCGTAAACTCCGCTCAGTTGTTCTGCTCTCGCCTTGTGGGGTCAGGCATTGGAAGCTTGAGTTTCAGACCATTCTCACAAACAACCATTCCCCTCAGGAGAAGATGGTGAGGATGATCCCTCATCATCTTTCGCCCCGCCACCTTTCGCCCTTTTGTTCCGCTCTTCTCTTGTGGGAGCAGGCGTTGGTCACTGAGTTCCAGACAAGCTCGCTAACTTCGGTATGGGAGGGCACTGTGCCATTTTTCTGGAGGAGAACATACCATTACGGACACCCTTGAATATGGATAGATGAAATTAATATGGATAATGATTGAGCGCAGATGAGCGTGTTGGAGCTATTTCTGGTCTAGTCGTTGCCTTGTTGCCTTTTTTTCCTTCGAGATTGTGAGTGTCTATTATTGGTCTAGTCTGATTGTGAATGTCTATTACAGTTAGTCTGTCTAGTCTGTCCTGTCTCAAAGTGAGCCAGGTTTCGTCCCCTCTGTTCCGCTCCCGTCTATCACGGCCTGGGCAGTGTCTCTATGGCTTGACCTCTTCCCCTCTGTACCCCCCTCCAGGTCTTGTCTGCGCTTGCTTTCCTTTACTACATTTGCATTCCTTTTGTCTATTGCAGTCCGGGCAATGTGTCTATTCACTGTGCTTTTCGTACTTGCCTCCTCGTATGGGTTGATCTCTTGACTTCTGTACCCTGCTCCATGTCTTGTCTGCGCTTTCCTGCCCTAACTACATTTGCACTCCTCGCACCCGATCAGGTATGTCACATCGTTCATACACCAATACAATGTAACGTCGTTTGTATAGTCATTTCCTCCTTCTAGGTTTTCACTTCCCCTCCATATCCGATCATGTATGCCACACCATTCATGCACCAGTATGGATCCGTAAATGCCTTTTATATCTTCCAAGGTAGGGTGCGAAAGTGCCTCCCTATGGTTATGCCATGTTTTGCACAAATCAGTGTCTATCTTCCACGTTGACTCGTTTCATCCTCATGTCTTTCCTACACATTCGACAATAATTTTGACATCCAGCCTGCTTGAAAGCATTAACTGCTTTGCTGCTGAATCCTACCCCAGTCCCCGCCTACGCAATCTCGCCCTTTGCTTTATGAGGCAACACGTAGGGCCTGCTTCTGTTCCAGCTGATACTGAATTACTCAGACTCAACATTGTAGCTTAGAGCGTGTTCCTACGGCCTCAAATCAGGCCACCTCGTATCAAGAATGTACTTTTCGCCTGGTAAAACTAGCGAGAGGTTTTGGGTTTAGGGGAATTTTCAGTGTGAGCCTGATATGAGGTTCGCTTGATACGAGGTGTAGGAACACGCTCTTAGAGCGTGTTCCTACGGCCTCATATCAGGCAACCTCGTATCAGATTCGCGTCGAACCGCACTAAAACGCATCCAACCGCAGTCGAACACACTGAAACGTATTTCACCACACGAAGCTGATACGAGGTGTTTCTGATACGAGGTGTAGGAACACGCTCTTAGCATGTGTACCGTAACATGAAGATGTTTTGGTTGTTCATCATACAGCTGTACTCTGCAGTGTTTTATCCCTCGCATGGATGGATGGATGGAGTTTCTGCTACAGCATTGTGCCCGCATGCGCTGCCATGATTGATATCTTGTTGCACTGTTGCACTATTGTTAGTAAATGGTGATGTGATGTGGTCCTCTCCTCTGCTACACATTGCAGTCAATATGGAGCTCACATTGTTGATCAATACAGTACGAACTGCAGATTTGCCTTGGCAGGTAAATCAAGACTAGCCTAGTAAGCACAGCACATCATACGGTAACAGTTCTGCGTCTGCATATGGTACCTTTCACTCATCACATGTTGATGCGGGAGATATTTGCCTCCACCTCCATGCTATGGCTGCGTTATGTAGAGACTGGATTTCTAGCGTGGAATACTGTAGCTACTCCTAAACTCCTAACTTGCTGCATACATAGCCTAGGGGTGTTCCTGAATCATCAGCAAGAGCTGGCACAAGTACCTCTTCTCAGCAGAGGGCAGTACCGTATCTGTTTATTTCTATGGGACTATCCAGCTTGTAAACAGGCACAGAAAGAAAGTGAAAGAACGATCAATTTAATTATAGACCGATTTCTCTTTGTCTCTTTGCCATGTTTGTCACATAGCGCACTTAAAGAACGATCAATCTAATTATTGATAACAGAATACAAAGGAACAAGCTCGGCACGTTTAGACGAACTGAGCAACCCCGGAAAAAGAATGAAATATTATATAACGTATAAAGCCCCTATACATTGAGCGAACCCAAAATCACTGAACAGGAAGAGCCCAGCGATATGCCTCTTCGGTCGCCTCGACCAATGACCGCCGCTCCTGAATCCACGCATGGACGTGCTCCAAGAACGTCTTATTCGCTGGCCTCTCTCGTCTCGGAACGTAAGTCGCCGCTGCGCGAGCGTCGAACGACTCAAT